AACTTCTTGATGTTCTTGCTAAAAGGACAGAGACAGGAAGGAAACAGAAGCCAGCACAAGACAAATAAGTACTAACTCCTGCTTCAGCATAATTCACAAACACCAACACACTGAATGACTGAGACAGTTTCTCAGTAATGTTTTGTCTTTTCACTGCCAAGAACTTATCATTTTGAGCCACCTTGTTTTCAAAGCGACGTTTCTTAAAAATGGGGTCAAAGATAGAAATTTTAAGGGTATAAGAACTCCTGAAATAAATTCAATATGGTGTACACAGCTATATATGTTCTTTTCCTCTAGGGGCAGGTCTCAGAGCCTTCATTAAATTCTCAGAGGAAAACCTGAGCACAAAAATAGGCTGCAAAACATGAAAAATCAGCTCCTACCCTTACTGTTCTGGTACAGATTAAAAATCCTTTTGTCTATAAAATCTTCTACAGTCTTTAAAATAAGTTATCATGCAGATCTTTTGTCTTTCATTATTTAACACTTGGCTTCCAGTCTTTCATAAAATCTGTAGGAAGTAAATAGAGAAAACATTCTACTATTTACAACATACTTTGATTCACTCATTCAATCAACTCATTTCTACTAAGATTCGATGATTCCAGACAATCTGTGTTTACACAAACCTAATCAAAACGATAGACACAGCTCCTACCCTTGAAGAGTTCAAAATTAAACAAACAAAACCAGCCACAATGAATGCAGTGTGTACTATTACACAAGAGTGAAATCTCTAGAAGGAGAAAGGAAAGCAACTGGCAATCAAGGTTTCAGGGAGAGGTAGGCAGACGAGAAATGATCTGAGCTGGTCCTTGAAGAATGAATAAGTTTGTAAGGCAAAAGATGAATTCAGGCAAAGGGGAACAGTAGGTATAGAAGAATACAAAAGTCGTGTCATATTGAGGTATGAGGTAACAAGCCCACCTACCATATGGAAGGAGAAGGGATGAAAATGAAATGCTAAAGCACTGTACTAAACAGAGTACAAAGCGGAAACACACTGACTGGTCTAAAGAAGCTTTAGAGTGCCACAGTAGAAGGCAATTCTAATTTTCTGGGGAAGGTGGTTAAGGTAGAGGAATTATAGGAGGTCAAGGAAATACCATGGAGGAAGTGCGCCTTAATGCATATTCAGGAAAGTAACATGGATCCAACTGGAAATAGGAAGTCACTATGCAACCTGAATTGCATTTATACACCAGTTGGGAGCAAGATGGTCCAAAGGGAAAAAGGAGAAGCCATACATAAAGTCAATTAGGAGGTGATAGCTGCAATCCAGGTAAGAGGTAAAGTTAAAACTAAGAAACAGAACAGAATGTGCATGTTTCAACAATATTGATGAAATTATTTCCTTATGTGTTATATAAGCTAAGCACAAGAAATAGTGAACAAGCATAAAGTCTATGCTTAAGTACAAAATCTAGTAGTAGATCCAAATAAAACAATATAATAAAGAATGGAAAATTATATGTCAATTGTAATGTGAAAACATGCTCTTAAATAAGATTTGACAGGAGTGATTAGTTTCCCCTCCCAAAGAAATGATGTCTACAATAAGATTTGAAGGATATAAGAAACATTCTTTAACTAACTCCTAAATTTGTATATAACATTAATATCTACATTGATTTTCCATGCTCAAAACAAACACTATAAGAAGAAACATATTTTTTTCCTCATTATGCCTTTCTGTATTTTTCAAATTTTTACAATAAGTGTGTATTGTAACTATAATCCAGAGAGAAGAGGGGGACCTTGTGAAACACATTATTCATTACACAATACTCATTATAATCCCAAATTACATATGTTGCTTATTTGCAAGATGGGCCCCTGCACTAAAATTAAATATCCTCACCTGAACTGAAAACCAACAAAAGGAGGGCTCATCTTCTGTCTGGTAACAATTTAAAGTCACCAAAAAATCTGCATAAATTCTTTTTTCTTACTTTGTGATCATATGCATCTCTTACTGATGTTAGTAAAAGACCTAAAGGCTGAAAGGCTGTACCAGTATATAGAAAAAAAACTTATTTACAGTAACAAAGGCCAAGGTTTATAATGTTAATAGCTTAGTTACTTGAAGAACCTGACCTCACATAACTATTTACAAATATGAATCTTAACCACCATCATTTTGGCATGGATAGAGGAGTCTTATTATAATACTACTGGAGTTGACAGATGATGGAAGCTTGCCTACTTAGTAGATTTCACCTAAAATAAAAGCCTAAGAAAAATATTTTCATAAATGTCAAAACATGTATAAATGTTATTACACATTTATAGAATGTGACTACAATCTAAAAATTAACAAAGCTTTAGAATTCTTATGATTTTCTCAATAAGACAGTCACAAATTATTAGATATATTCCTTTTTATATTGTTAGCAGTGAATTACCATACAAGACTGCAACTAGTACAACTTGCCATTATGGTTACAGGAAGTTTTGAAAGCTCAGCTGAGCAAAATGTACCTAATATTACAAAGTCTGGATCAGCAAAAATAAACATGCTGCTCTACTTCCCATTAAAATTCACTACAAAAAAGTTTTACACAATAAGAAACTATCGTTGAAGTCAGAAACTATCGTTGAAGTCAAGTAAATCGTAGAACATTGGAAGGTGTCTTTTTCAAAGTTTGAACAGTACAGCAGACAAGTATTTTCAAATCTAGCCACATTATATGTAAAATGAAGTGTAAATGGATCATGTAAGACTCATATGAAAATAAAGTCTAAACATCATTAGACTCACTAATGAAACTGTCCACTTCTATTATTCCAAATCAAAGTAAAAAAAAATTAAGGATTAATGAATTTATATTATTGAAAAAAAGCACAACTACAATGTATACAACTTGGTTTGAATGCCAGTCAGCACTGCTGACTTGATGTGTGACTTTGAATTTGATTTTATATTTTTTGTTTAAGGAAGAAATTGAACTTTAACGCTCTCCAAAGAGATTTTGTTTTTTTATAGGGTTCCAATATTACAGACTTTATGTGATAGCTGAAGGCCAACCTTTAAGAAGGAAATAAGAATTTGACAGAATTTAGTACTGGGCAGGTATGTTCAACACTAAACAATGACTTAAATAAGGAGTCCAGACAAAATTTACAGAATGTCAAATCATATTGTTCAAAGAAGTAGATGAAACTCAGTGTAATCACTGGAATTACTATAGATTTGAAGCTTTAGTGCCTGGAGTAGACATTTATTTTCCCAGAATTCATTCCTCTTCCTACCAAGTCTCCTATTTTTATGCAGGGATACCCTCACCTCCATTTGTTGTTGGTGACAAATCATCCTCCCACAACTCCCAGCAAAGATTTCATGATAAATCTATAAACTATACATCCCTGATAACCAACTGTTTTAGATGTAGGCACAGCTCTACACCAGTCCAATCAGATTCACTGTTGTGGCTGTTTTGATTAATGCCAGAAAATAGACACTCTTATTAGATTTTAAAGTGTAAGTACAGGAGATTAGGTGTGCTATAATCCCTTGATAGCATAAAGGGAAAGTCTATCTGACAACAGAACAATCAGTGGAAGTATGAAAAAGAAATAAGAAAACAGGAGAATGAATTTTGTCATTTAAGTCCCAGAATAAAGCCATGCCATAAACCATCCCTACCTCTAAGAGATGTTGGTTTCACAAGTCAATAAAATCACCTTCATTTAAGTGAGCCTGAGCTGACTTATTTCTTGTAACTGAAAAATCATAACTACCGTTTCTTTACAGCAATCTCAGTGAAGTCTCATGAATGAGGAAGCTCACTGCTAAATGCTTAGCATATAACCCAAGTAATCATTTAATCCCTTTGTATCCTAACATCAACATAAAATATCAGTCATTATCTGTTTCAAAGTATTGTGAAGGTTTAAAATAGCAAAGTGATTTTTAAATCCAGTGCCCTATACACTATAAATCAGAGACATTCAGCAGGGAAGGGCGAGGGGAAGGGAGACCGATTAAAATAGGGGTGGGAAGAACACAAGAGACTATGATGATGATTCAAGGGTACTTGGTGGTAGGAACTTTATGGGGCCTACACCTGAGTGGAGAAAGCAAACTACAAAAATTTATAATGATGTAAAAAATATACATATAGAAATAAAAATAAATAAATAAATAAATAAATAAATCCAATCTGTAGATGGAAAATGGTACTATTTTTTGAAAAATTAACTGTAGGACACTAAAAAAAATAAATTTTATCATGAAGTTTTCTGGGAAACAAGGGAATTAAAGAAGCATCAATCCATATCTTCAGTATTTAAATTCAAATCTATTCATATTCAAGTCTGCTCCACATGGTGTACCTATGTATAGAGAAGATTCAACACCAAATCAAGTACCCTGAGATTAGGTATTCATTCTACAGCTTACTGGTTTATATACTATCAGGCAAAATAACCTAAGATTCTTAATTTCTTATCTGTAAAACAGAAACAATAACTATCTCAAATAACAAGATATTTGTGAGGATCAAATGAAAACTCTTGGCATATTGTGTGCATTTAACATGCCTCCCACAAAATATACTAAATCATGATATTTTCCTAGTTATTCAATTATCTAAAGTTGGAGGAAAGCACCTGAAACACATAATGTTATAATGCATTGCTACTGAAAAAAGGAAAAAAGATAAAAAGTTTTTTAAAAACTTAATGAAAAGAAGTTGGAGGGAAATGATCTCATTAATTCCAAGATACACTTAAATCCTAAAACCAAATAGTATCTTATCATTGATGTACACCATTGTATTTTTGGCAGTGATTTTTCTTCTTCCAGTGCTACAAAAGAAAAAATGTGAATCCTGTAAATAAAGGTCAACTTACATTTGATTCCCAATTCAGAAACATGGTACTTAACCTAGTAAAATAACATGTACCAAGTTACACATCAGAAGCAAAAAAGAACGTGTGTGTGTGCGTGTGTGGCTGTGCATTTATATAACCAGTTTTAATTTTATTTTACATACCTCTGTAGGTCAACTATTTCATTGTTAAGGGTATCTAGCTCCTTAATAGCAGAAAAATCTGCAACAGGACTTGTTGACCCTATGATGTTCTAAAAAAAAAAAATTCACAAATTTACATTATGATTATATATTAATGAAGCATTAAAAATGTTAACAGTATGCAAATATATTATGTATTTTACTATACTGCTAATATTTAAGAAAACATTAGCTAATGCAATTGCACACGCACATAAACACATACACAGAGTTATATACTAAGACATTTTCACTTAAATTCTCTAAAAGTTGTTGTTCTAAATATAATGGGTATCACCAATCAGTATCCTGAGTTTAGCTTGTCCATTACTTGCAGTAAAGCAGATTACAGTCTCATAAACTATAGTATTACTCCTCTGAGGTATAAATTTCTCATGGAGAGAGATGGTAATTTACCTAATTTATATCATTATTCAGAGTGTAATTACAGAAATTTTTGTGTATCTCAGAATTATAATGGTGGTTAATTTTACTAGATTCAATAAATACTTAATTTTGTTAAATACTTTTAGTGTCTAATCTATTTAAAGTAAAACCAGCTACTAAGGAATAATATGGTAAACATTAACCTCATCAAACGTGAAACTATCTTCATATGTGAAATCTTTTACATATGGTTTTCTTTCAGTAATGAACATGTTAAAATTGGTATAAATTATATGTGAATGATACTTGTAGTCAGAAAATCTGCTAGGTTTATTCTTGGCTCTGCTATTTTACTAGTGCTTGATCTTCACTGTAAAACAGGTAAATAATCTCTGCCCTGCCCACTTTAAAAATGAAATAAATTATGTATGTGAAGTCTACCCTTGTTCAGTCTTTTTTGTGAACTACTGTTGATGTTTTATTGCTGACTGAAATCAGAGCAAAAAAAGAAATGCTCCTTCAAACACTTGATCTAAACACAATGCTATAAGATTGACAAATAATACGACAATCGTCATTAAGAAATAATAAAGCTAATACCTGTATATATAAAACTAAGATATACTGAAGACCTTCTTCGTAAAACATAAAACTTAGTATTAATACTTGTGTTGCGGTGAATTTAACATATATTTGCAACTCACACAACAGAAGAAACCTACATATGCACAACATACCATATCTCTTCACATTACCAGATAGCTTCCCATTTACTAAGCACTTTCACACCCATTAGTTAATTCTCAAAATTAATCTGAAGTTGTAGACAGGTCAGAGATTATTATTAACCCCATTTTAAAGCTAAGGACAAAAATTAAATGACTGTGTAAAGCTGAACCCAAAAGATAATAAATAATTTGAGCAGGAATCTTCAGATAAAATTCAAATACTATTTTACTGATAGGCACTTTCACATTAAGGGCATTTAGGTAAATGAAACCACTACCCTAAAAGCCAACTTGGCAAATGGGTACATCAATAAAATTTAGTAAACAATTCCCTGTATTTCTTTCTTACTGCATATAAGTCCTCAGATATTTTGTTTTGATTCTCAGTACCAAAACTCATCTATCAAGATTCAATCAGTGCTACTTCTCAACTTCTTATCAATTACAAGTTTATAATAAAATACCTGTCTTGCTTATGCTTCACTGATCAATAGACTTTATCCTAAATTAAATTAGAAATTGAAACATGAAGCTCTGAATATGACAAGTCTTCACTACGGGACTTTAACTCTGTTTCAACTTGACCTATGAGCTAAACCTGGCCAGACATTTTAATAGGAGAACAAAATGAAAAATTAGCACTTGGTCTCACTTTTATCACCAAGAGTAATTTATGTCATCTAAATGGTACTGAGAAATTTGCTATCAGAGGTGTAAGCATACCACAAAACTCATGACTTTCACACCTCTTCTGTCACTCCAAAAAAAAACAACAAAAAAAACCCCTCTTATCTGACACTTTCACTATTAAAATTAAAATATCATCAAATAAAAAGAGACAAATAATTTTAATCTCTAATAAGTCCGCAGGTAATACCACAGCAAGTTAGAAGATTAGTGTACTATAGTTAGTACAGTTCGTGTCACTTCTCAGTTACTGACACAAAATTAAATTCCCATTCGAAAGCAATAAAATGGTATCCTATCAGGAAGCATAAAAATAAGTAAATAAAACAATATGCTACCGGCTAACAGAATATGCAATATAAGAAGGGTATCTGAAGAAAAATGTAGTGTATCCCCTTCTTTCCAAATACCTTATCTCACACTATTTTGTGTACTACACAAAATCTACACATTGGTTAGTTTAAGTGGAACAAAAGAACCCATGAAAGACAAGTTAAAAAGCATACAAGGATAAAGTAACACATGACAAAAGCATGCTATTTAGATAGTTTCTCTGCATCAATTTTGCTTCATAAAAAACCTGTAATATCAAAGTGTATCTTGTAAACCAAAAACTGTAATGCTAAAAAGGCATAAAGTAAAGCTCTAACCTTGAGAGAGTAGTTAAGAAACTGACAGTACAAGAAAGGCGAAAAGCAGAGTGCTGCAGAATGGAAAAAATAGTCCAAACTAGAAAAAACACAGAAAGGAAAGCAACATTCAAAAAAAGATTAGTCAAAGCTGCAAAAAATGCAGTACTAAAAAAAAAGTCATATTATAAAGAGAAGAGATTGTTTGAAAGACAAAACAAATGCAGATTTTATTTAAGGTTAAAAATTTTTGTTACTAGATAAGACAACAGCAAAAATCCCATTTTAATGACTAATAATAAGTGATAGACAAAGGTGTCTGTGCTCTAGTGAATGGACTCTACAGAAATCATTATATTAAAATTTCTGTATAGAGCAGCTGCAACCTGAAGTATCTAATCTTATTGAAACTTCAGGAATATTGCTTCAGGAATTTCTGTTATACCTGTCATTGTGTCAGTGGAAAATTTAGTATATTTAAAATAAAGGCAGCAAATGGAGAAAAATTAGTCTACATAGATTAAAAAAAGGGCGAAACAATACAGCCTACATAACTGAGATAGTTATATTAAAAAGCATAAATACAAATATGTAACCTGTAGCCTTCTCCACAACTTAGGGGACCCATTCTCTATATATCACAAGAAATCTCAAATAATTCACAAAATGCTTGCCCCCTCAAAAAAAAAAAAACCCTTAGAAAGCAAACAATCAAATATTTCAAAAACTCTTACAAGTACATTCTATATGTGCTGACTATAAATTTCCATTAAGTTGACTTAGAAAAAAAATCCAATTTTTGACTTCTACTTGGTTTGTTAAAATGGGATTTTTAACCTATGTGACAAAATTAATGCAAAACCAAGATATTTAACTGACATTAAAAACTGCCTCCTTAAGTCACAACTTTTACAACTCCTATTATATATGACTCTAAAGAATCACTATGGCAATGATACAAAATGGTAGTAAAAATACAGTTTACATTTTTAAGGCAAGTAGATACTAGAATATGTAAGTCATTATAAATCTTTATTAAGCCAAGATACCATAAATCTTGCACTATAACAGGAAAAGTTTCTAGAGAGGAGAGTAATCAAGGCACAATATGGCCAAAACAATGTAATTTTGAAAATTACCATTGCTGACCTGAAACCAAAAATAACTATAACTTGCTTCCCACTATTCTGGAATTTGGCCATATGTCCAAGAACAGAGGGTCATCTATAACAGCAAAAACCATACTGAGTTATATTCAACATGGTGTTTACTTTGGGTTTTTTTTTTTTTTGTAAAGTTTAATACCAAGAAATCATAATCTACTAGACTTTGTTTTCAAATTCATATTATCTTCTTTAAGAGTGAGTCATCAAATAAACCACAAATTAATTCTTAATAACTTTTATTTAAATTTCACAACCTATTCACAAAAATTGATTTATAAATCCAAGAAAGGAAAAACAGCGCATGTTTTCAATTGTAATACTGGAAATACGGTTGACATATGTATAATGATTGGTAATGAGCAACAGTCCAAAAATATTATACAAGACATACAAGCATATTTATAGGCAAAAACTTAAACTATAAACAGAATACTGTCCTGCTCCTAATTTTTTTTTTCTTCATTTCTCCATTCAAATTGAATCTGTCATCAGATATAGCACTTATTCCTTTTTGTTAATGTAGTCAGCTTTTTTAAGTTCTCTTACCTTTTGTATACTGGCCCTATCTGATGGTGGAATCATCTCAGGAGTAAGACTGTGAGGAGGATCAATGCCCTTCATTAATTTTTGATTGATTAAATGAAAAGCCAAGGCAAACTGATCCTTTGAAAGTTTCCCACAGTCCTTTGTGTCACATAATGCCCTGTAGAAATAAGCAAAATGAACAGTATATAAATGCCACAACTATCATTCAAAAAATGTAGAGAAAAAAATAACATCATTTTTTAAATGATCTGTTGAATGAAAAAACAAAGTCACTCCAACTGGTGTCTTGCCCAACACTCCCTCAAATGTTCGAAGAGATAAATCAGTTAAAGAGGCAAAAAGAGAGAATGTTCACCCTGGTGCTGAGCAAGGGTTTACATTGTGCTTTCTTACCAGTTTCCAGAGCCATGCAAGAGTAAAAGAAGTGTTGAGTCAAAGAACCAACATTCTCTTACTTTTCAAGATTTGCAACATTTAAAGATGTTAAAGATGAAATCTAAGCCTTAACAAATTTAGTGACATTAGAATGATTCTAAAACAAAAAACACTTCCATGTCGGCTGACTTCCTGTAATAGAGTAGGAAGACAGAGGATCAACAAGTCAAAGCGGAAATAACAACTGCCAATGGAAATCACATGAGGAGAGGCAGCAATCCAGAAAGCTTTACAAACTCACTTGAAGAGAAACAGCAAATGTTTTATTCCATTTTCTTTTTTTTGAAAATTCAGCTTTGTGAAGTCCTGATCTGTTTGATTCATTGAAAACCAATGTGGCCTGACGAAGACTACAGGTCATGGTGTCTACGAAACCTTGAATTCCAGTTTTGTTTTGTTTTTTGCTTGTGATCTTGGACAGTATTTTTTAACTTCTCCTAGTTTTTTTAATCATAAAGTGAAGACAACACCCATTTTGTAAGGTGACGATGAGAATTAAAAATAAAACACATAAAAAGTCTGGGCAAGATGTAAAACCCATGACAACTGCCATTTATTAGGCATGGTTCCTAGACTAAGCAATTGAAAGGGGCAGTTTTATTAGTTATACACATTTAACCTTGCCCAGACTTGAGTTTTTATTCCTTTTAAAGCTTATCTACTGTTCTCTATTGTCACTTTCTAAGCTTATTTTTCTAATTATTTGGTTCCACTTCTGATGTTTGCTGCCATTTGAAAGTTTCAAGATAAATCTCTGGTAGAGTAAGGTGGATTGGCAGCAGGCACACTTATAAAGCATTATCGTATCATTTAATGTGCAATTCACTGGAACTGCAAACTAAAACTAAAGTTTATCATTTTTAAAGATCAACTGTGTAATTCTTGTGCAAGGATAAAAGCAGGCAAACACCCTAAAGAATTTTAGGTATATACCTTGAAGACGTTTTTATATTGTTTAAGTTTCGTATTTGTGGGTTCTCCTTTAAAAGTTTAAGTTTAATTAATTAAACTAAATTAAAAACAGAGGATACGATTTAAAATTCTAATAACAATTAAGCAATGCTGTTAATCTTGTAACTTCAGGTAATCCATCTCAAGCTTTTGCCAGTTATCTAAGAGAAATGCTCAGGTTTAAATACAAAGATAAACTGTCCTATTTGCAAATGACTAAAAATGAGAGCACAAAAAACTGAAGTGACACAAAACCAAATCTTTTTATCTAAATTTAAATAGTCTTACCAAATATGGGCTAGTAAGGTAGAAGGTAAACCTGTCTTCAGAAAGATTTCACGGACTTCCAATCCTGATACAAATCCATCCATATCTTTATCAGTTTTCAGGAAAATTTCATCATATTTAGCTTTTTCTGCAGGGGATACAACCCACTATAGTAGGGAAAGAAAAAATTATATACATACATACACACACATATATATATATATATATATATATATATATATAGTATTTCTGCCAAAATAAACCTTCTAAATGTCACTCTTTCAACCCATAACTGCCCCAAATTAAGAACAATTCTAACCTACAAACTACAGCAACTGTGTATTCGCTTCCATCACACTCCAATCAAAACCATGGAGAAGAAAATATTATCTAAGAACAATACAGGTTAGTTGGAACTATTTTACATTTTACTTTCTCATCTTTTAATAAATTTAAGCACAATTAACTCTTGGCTTGTGAATGACAACATGTATATATGGGTGATTGGGATAGTCTGTATTAACAAAATATTCAGGTAATTCTCAATCTCCAGCTTTTATAATTTCATTTGGCATTCTGAGCTACAACCAAACTAACTAAAGGATGAAGAAGGAAAAAAGTCTTCAACAATCCCAAATTGGAAAAGTTGAAACTGAAGAATTAAGAGTTAGCTAGAGATTAAACAAACAAAAACACCTATTAACTATGTCAGAGAAAGCTTGCCATATTAGCTATCTCCACCTTTAGGGACACCAAGGGAATGCCAATAAAATGGCCATATGACCTAAGAGCAAATGCAGGAGGATTATCTGTCTTTGTGATATCACATTGCGTGAGTTCAACCAGAGGGAGCTCCAAATCTTTGATTTAGACTGATGTTTCTATCTTCACCAAGTAATCAACTGATAAAAGCCATGCACTTTGTTAAAAAAAAAAAAAAAGTCTTTTAACAGTGATTAATCTACCTGTTTTAATGGTGGGTTGGTAGGTTAAAGTAGGTGGTAAGAGTTCCTTTGATAATGCGAAAGATGAGATCAAATTCATACAGTCTGATATACTGACCGTTTTTCTCTTAGAAGGTGGCACCAAGCCTGGTGGCAGTGACATTGGCACAGGTTCTTTCTCCAATGCACAGTATACCAAACACATGGCCTTTAAAATAAAAGAACCAGGGTCAAATACATTAAAGTAATTTAACAACATTCACCCGTTGATTTGACTACTGTTCAACAATAAAACATCTTCAAGTTGTTTAAGGACATGTAATCTGAGTGTGTTTCATCTTGTAGGTGTAACTATATCAAAATGTAAGAAAATTTCAACATATTTAGCTTTTGTACAATGAAGTTAAAAAAATCAGGCTGGGAAGAAAAGAAGAAAAAGAAAGAAAAAGACGAAAGGGAAGAAAGAGAAAAGTAAAGGAATCAAAGCTAAGCAATGTTTAGGAAGATAGCCTTAGTAGCCAAAATTTTAGACACTCATATGTCAGCTAAAGTTATTGCAATGTCATAAGCAATTACCTTGGTTAAAAAAAAAAAGAAAAAGAAATTGCAGAGCTAATCACTAATACATAAAAGTTCCTAGGGGATCTCCCTGGTGGCGCAGTGGGTTAAAGCACAGCACTGAGAAGCTAAAGTTACTTCAGCATGAGTTTGATTCCTGTCCCGGAGGTGACCCACATGGCGTGGCAGGCCTCTCCTGACCCACCCACTGCTCCCCTCAGTAGTGTACTTTGTTGATCTGCCTGTTCTGCTCCCCACTCTGTCTCAGGTGACTGCTCCTCTGGCCTGTACCCCAGTTCTGTATGCATAAATAAATAAATCTTAAAAAAAAAAGTTCCTGGAAGTTAGGAGAAGAAAAAAAAAATCCAATAGAAAAATAGAAAAGGAACACGTACAAACAGTTTACAGGAAAGTGTGTGTTACAAATGATCCCTCAACATTTGAAAATACCTGTAAGAAAACTTCAAGGTAAAACTATATTAAAATATTGTTTTTTACCCAATTGGCAAAAATCCAGTTTGCTAGACTGGGCAAATAAGATCTCTTATCCATTGCTAGGAGTTTAAACCAGTACTGAGCCTATGAACAGCAAATTGGCAACATCTATTAAATTTATTATTTCACCTTTGGTTTAGCAACCTCATATATAGAAATCTATCTTCAGACTTACTAGGCTAACAAAGGAAATACTGTTTGAAAAAGGTTATTAATTACAGAATTGTTTGTATCAGCACCCATGTACTTATCAATAGAAAATTGGATTTAAAAATTATGGTACAGAGGCCTCCCTCGTGGAGCAGCTGGTTAGGATGAAACACTGCAAACTGGCCGTAGCAGCTTCAGTGTGAGCTTGATCCCAGGCACGGAAGGTGATCCACATGGCATAGCAGACCTCTCCTGACCCACCCACTGCTCCCCTCAGCAGTGTACTTCATTGATCTGCCTCTCCTGCTCCCCGCTCTGTCCCTGGTGACTCCTCTCACAGCCTCTGCACTTCTGACTTCTGAGTTCTATACGCATAAATAAATCAATCTTAAAAAAAATAATAATGGTACATCCATACATCCATACAATAAAACACTATAAAGTTTTTTTTTTTCCTAATGGGAAAAATTGTGCACCTTAACTGGGCAGTACTTTAATAGGTACGCACAATTGTACAAATTCATTAAATTACATATTTAGAATGAATGCAGTTCATTATCTGTAAAGTATTCCTCAATTAAGTTGACAAGGAAAAAAAATCATGTAATTTTCTACATGAATAGACATAAGGTATACTGTTAATCATGAAAAATTATACATGCAACAGTGTGCCAGTGCTTTATTACAGTGTGGTATCTTTTGTGTTATGGGAAAAATAATTATTCATATTTATTTATATTTCCTCTAAGAAATTCTAGGAAGAGAAACAAAAAAAGACTAAGAAAAGTGGCTGGTTATAGAGTAGATATAAATGGAGAAGTTGGGGGTAAAGATGCGACTGAGATTATGTTTCCCCATTGGGTATCTTCTTGTACTATAAATTTTGAAACATAAGAATGATTCAGAAATTTTACCTATTAAAAATATTTTTAATTATTAAATACACAAACCACTTATACAAAATAGGACAACCTGCATATATAAAATATCCCAAGCTATACACCTCCATTTTAAAGATTTCAAAGCAACTAATTCAAGACTTTCAAATGTATGAAATTACTCAAAGCAACTTGGAGCTTCTAGAAAGATTTCAATAGCATCTAGGGGAAGTTTGTGTATTTCTTCTTAATTTCTTTCCCATTGAAATTACAATTCTCTCCAAAAGGAAATTTACTTCTAATTCTAAGTATTATATAAATTAATTAATTCTAAGTAATATAAATTAATATTTATTGAGCACCTAATATTAACAATGCTGAGTCATGATTTCTGATTACTCATGTTTTACAAATGTAGAAACAAAGGCTCAGAAGTGCCAAGTAACTTAACCAATATATTTTTTTAAAGTGACAGGATAGGGCTCAAACCAAGATCTTCTAGTTACAAAGCTCTTGTTTTTTCCAGGTATGATCAGCACAGATAATTTTACAATAACTTGCTCTCTACAGGCAATAAAATCTTTAACCCCTTGGTACCCAAATTTATAGCAGGCATCAGAACTATTCTAGATAGCTTGTTAGAGTACAGATTTCTGGGCTCCACTCCAAGAATTCTAGAATCAGTAAGTCTGGGGTTGAGTCCAAAAATGTGCTTTTCTAGCAATTTTCCAGTTTATTTGATGATGTTTGTCCTGGGACTGCCTAGAACCATTTGACCCAAACAAAGAAATTTCCTGTCCCCATTTACTAACTGATTTAAAGAATTAAATTTCAGTTTCAGAAAAACACAAACTTTCTATTTCTTGGCGAGCACATACCTGCAACTAAATTCTTAATACAGTAATGTTACTTGATGGCACTGACTAAGAGAAGTGACTAATATGCATTAAAGGTCAACAATGCTCCTGCTACAGATGGGAGTCATTTCCTGGAAGAATGGACACTAGAAGCAAAAAAGCACTGTCAGCCATCTGCTGCAAACAGACAACACATTTTTTGAAAGTTAAAAAAAAGTTTTAATTTCATGTTGCCCTGAAAATTGTTTGCCTGACAAAACTGAAGCCAAAATTTTTTCCACCAAATAAAAGAGAGTGAACACTATACCTCCAGATTGTGATTTCTGTTTAATTATTTTGTACTTTATCCTAGTCCACAGAAACAAACACAGCACAGCAACTAAGTCAAATGATGCAATACACGCACACACATAAATACAGCCTCCAACTAGTTTTTGAACTTCAATGTAGTTGTAAATGCATTTACAGATATCGACACTTAACTAAGAAGAATTTAGAGTACCTTTTTTTTATTTCAATTAAAAGCATGAAAAACTTAAACTTACTTATGGATAGTAAGGGAAGAGGGAATTCAGTTATAATGATGCAATTAATTAACAGTAGCACCTTACTTTGATTTTTTTTTTCATTCTTTATGCTTTTTAAATGGGAGCATTTTAAGAGCATAGAAAGAAATTTCAGTGGTCATTACAATCACCTGAAAAGTTCGATAAACCACAAGTATTTTAAATGACCCTACTCCAACACTTGGATTCAGTTAGTTTGGGACAAGGCCCAAGAATGTGTGCTTCTAATAAATTCTACAGTGATGTTCATGTTGCTTATGGGAGAATATTTTTGAGAACAATTATTTTATGAGTTTTTTAAAAGCTTACTTGCTCACCAATCCACTTTTGAACTTTGCAACTAATAAACTCAGATGCTAAGGTACTTCATCTGCAATGAAAATGTCAGGTTTTCCAAGTAGTAAATTTCTCTTCTTTATGTAGTTCAACAACATGTTTACTGATAAATTTCTAGCAACTAAGCATTGCGCTGATCACTTAAAATATGAAAGTAAAAAGATCTCTCCCTTTTATACCAAAAGAGAAGCAACAAAAAAATATAACAAGTTAATTTCAATACAATGTGAACATGCTAACATATAGTGGAGTACAGGTCCTTTATTAGTTCCTAAGTGTCAAAAACTCTTCACATTATGGTGACCTTACAAATGCTTCTACTAAAAATTTAGATCATTTCAGTCTAAATTCTCTTACAAAAAGAGAATGGGAAAAAACAATGGATAGACATGAATTCAGATTACAAAGTAAAAATATCATGAGTTATCTCTCCAGATTATAGAGTAGGAAAAGGGAAAAATAGTAACTTTATATCAGAAAAATGAGGCAAACATCACTTTAACCTAGTGATAAAGGTTAAAATCACCAGAAACTATATCATACAGAATCATGTACTCCCTGATAAAAGAGAAAGGGCCCTCCCGGGTGGTGCAGCAGGTGAAAGCACAGCACTAAGAAGCTAAAACCACTTCACGTGAGTTCGATCCTGCCCCGGAGGTGATCCACGTGGCACAGCTGACCTCTCCTGACCCACCCACTGCTCTCCTCAGCAGTGTACTTTGTAGATCTGCCTGTTCTGCTCCCCACTTTGTCTCTGGTGAGTCCTCTCACCACCCCCGCACCTCTGGCCTGTACCCCAGTTCTGTATACATAAATAAATAAATCTTGAAAAAAAAAGAAGAAGAAGAAAAAGAAGTAGCCTAGGAAAAGGCTGCAGGACAGATAACCATATTTATTTGCTTACCTTCACATATACTACTGTTCATTATGTAAGGATAATATTACTCCCCACTTATCCTATGTTAAAATAAATGGTACTTTTAAATTATTTATTTATTTTAAGATTTATTCATTCATACAGAACTGGGGTACAGGCCAGAGATGCGGAGGGTGAGAGGACTCACCAGAGACAGAATGGGGAGCAGAACAGGCAGATTGATGAAGTACACTGCTGAGGGGAGCAGCGGGAGGGTCAGGAGAGGTCTGCCTCGCCATGTGGATCTCCTCCAGGGCAGGCGGGGATCGAACTCATGCGGAAGTTGCTTAAGCTTCTTAGTGCTGTGCTTTAACCCGCTGCGCCACCAGGGAGGGCCGGTACTTTTAAATTTTTAATCTGTTTTATGAGGGAAGAAATATCTCTCAATACATCTTACCAATGGTTATGTTTTGTCCCAATATTCTTAACAGAAAAAAAAATGTATAAAAGTTAGTATATTAGCATTTGATAGTAGTTTACATCTCTTTAAAAAAACACCTTTCCCAAAAACATATCATAAACTCTTATTCAATCCTTGATATGTAGATAACTTTTGTGAGAAGGGTTACAAAAAAAGTGTCCTTTTTGTGAGGACACTTATGAGAGGGTGTCATCCCCTGAGACTTCCTATCACCCTAATTAAAATAAAAAAGACTAGGAATCTATGACATCAACTCTCATTAAATTTCCATTTCTGAATAATTATTTCAGATGTGATATGTATTCTGCACATCACATTTTGTTTTTTTGGAATATAGATAGTATGAAATGACAAAAAAAGACAAACTTAAAGTGAAACAATAAAATCAATACAGTGCAGATAGAGGTCTAATAGTTTCTAAATAGAAATGTTAACAGATTCAGGGGATGTATGCTAAATAGGTAAAAAGCTGAGTAACATGAACAAAGAGGGTCAGGAAAAGACAAAACTTACAAACTAACAGCTGACCTGAGGCATATAGGAGGGGAGGAGGAGAGTAGAGGATCAAATCTAGGGAGGGAAAAGCAACTGGGATGATGGTGATGGGTCACTGGTGCTATGGTGGCAGTGATGGAGGAAGGAATGCAGGGGAGGCACCACAAGACTGAGTCACACAACGGGGATAAGGAGAAGGGGCTAGTGCAGCAATTGACACAGCCATAAAATCAAGATCCTCAGGCACCAAAGCCAGGTGCCTGGTGCCCAGGTAAAGATAAGGACATGAAGATGGAGATGAAGCTCACTCTGGAATCTCTGATCCTCTCAGATTCTCTGCAAAGTCAGCAAACATAGGCTCACCAGGCGTAAGCCCCTCCTAGAGAGAAGCTGTCTATATCAGGGCAGTCTCTCCACCAGCATGGGGCAGCCGCTCCTCTGCCCACCTGTGCCCACCTGTGCTTCTTTCCACCCCCTCTCTCCCTCTGCAGGGCAGCAGCCTCCTGCCTGCCCGTGACCATGCCAGGACTTCTCTGCCTTGACCCCCTAAGCAGAGGCCTCTCTCCTAAGGCCACCTGACTGCAACCATGCGGGTCTCTCTCTGCAGACCTGTCCCTTCAGGAGCAGCTATTCCTGCCCACTTGCACCTATGCAATGTCTTTTCCTCTCCTGTCTCTCTCTAATAAACTTTCTCTTTAAATATAACTGTCTGTGAAGAATCTCACCATGTGCTGCTAAAAGGGGAGCTCTGGTGAAACCTTTCCCAGAATGAACCCAAGGGCCCCAAACTCAAAAAACATCAGTAGGAGTACTGTGGGGACTACTCCTGAAGGGAGAAACCAAGTACTATGTGAAAAGGACAATGATGTAAGGAAGTAACAAATTAAAAAAAAAAAAACAAAACTTGGTAACAAAGAAAATCTTCACAAATGTTTTTAAACAGAAATTTTAAAGATTAAGTTCCAGTTATATTGTTATTATTATTTATATATATATCTTTTACATCATTGTGTATGCTCTATAAAATTCCCATCATCAATAAAACACAGTGAACCATCACCATAGTCCCTTGTGCTGTTTTCTGCCCTGTTTTGATCTCTTATCTGCCTAACAAGCTTCAGCCAACGACTGCAGCACCAGCTGGACCCACAGTCATCCAGGGAGCTCACCCATATGACCCCACAGACGGTTCCTGTCTCACCACTGTTCAAAATGCCTGTTCTGTCTCTGCTTTGTCTCTGGTGAATCCTCTCTAACCTACTGCAACTCTGGCCTGTACCCCAGTTCTTGTATGCACAAAGAAATAAATATTAAAAACAAAAAGCATATACAAGAGCAACAAAAACCAAGCAAATTTAGCAACTCTGAAATCAGTAAACATTTCCAGATGATCACAGAAAACTAAAAGTTATCTAAAAAGTGATTATACCAATAGCTACGGAATCCAGCTAAACTAGTATTCAAGTGAAAATATGTCCTTTAAACACTTTCAATTTTAAAGATGATTTTGAAAAAGGAACTTAGTATATTATCTTCAGAAATTAAAAGGAATTAAAACAAAAACTGAAGAAGAATGAAACAAAAAGTCAAAATACAACAGAGGACAAGTCAATCCAAAACATGGTTCTTTGAAGAAGTCAACAGCTAGATAAAATCCACTTAAATAAAAAATAAAAGTAACAAAAATACTTTAAATTTGGGATGAAAAAGGAGCACAACCACAGAAGAAATTAAACACAAAAACAGGAGCACAACCCAGAAGAAATTAAATAATGAAATCTGTAGCAACAAATTAAACAGTCAAAGAAAATAAAACAGCAACACTAAATTAACAGAACCTAATTTCAAAATAAGAGTTTAATGGGAAATTAAAGATTTATCATTATGAGTTTGCAGCAGTTTTTTTCTAAACTTTAAGGGAAAAAAATGAATTCAACTTTAATTAGAATTAACTCTCTAGTTTTAAGGATGTGACTTCAGATGTCAAAACATTCTCTATCTTTATAAATGAAGTGAAATGAAAGTGTAAATCATATTTTCCTTCAATGAAGTAATGTGAAAATCTGGGGGTATGCTTGAAGTAAAAGTATTCCCAGTATATCTTAAAAGTCAAGTAAAATGAAGATGGTAAAACTCACACTTTCTATTATACATTTATTTAAAATATTTATTGATGACCTATTAATCTATTATACATTTATTTTAAAATATTATTGATGACCTATTAATTCTAGGTAAAATGTTCGTATCAATTAACATTAGGGAAATACTTTTCCTTTAGGATGAACTAAAAGGGAGAAACATTCACTTGAGAAAACCATTAAGATAGTTAAGATCTTAAAAGCATTAAGATACTTAAAACTGCAACTTTTATATAGGATAAAAGAAAAAAAGATACTTACAACTGCAAACTCATCTCTGTCAAGCATTCCATCATGGTCAATATCACTCAACTCCCAAACCTTAAAATGAAAAATTAATGTTCTTTCATTTCATAAGTACTTATAACCACCAAATACATAAGGGGGGAGGGAGCTTCACCTAAACAATGGAATACCTATTTCTCTGAGAACCTTCAATGATGACAATCATCTTTTGTACTACTATTATAATATATGCTATATTAACATTACTATAAAATAAAACAATTCTTAATACCAAGTATTTTTAAATGTAAATTTCTTTAAATTTTTAAATAAAATAAATAAAAAAATTTTAAATAAGATAAACCATTCCTTTCAAGTATGAAAACAATTATGTACACAGTAGTTGCAAACATTACAATGGTTTCCAAAAACATTGTTTCAGTTAAATCTGTGCAACAACTCCATGAGGAACTATTAATCCTATTTTAGAAATTAAGCTAGATGACTTATCTAGGTTATACAACTATTAAGTAACAAAATCAGTTTTCAATGTAAAGAATTCTAACTAAATCCATCACTGTTTTTCTTACACTACAAACTCTAATCATACAAAAGAAATATCTGATTAATATTGTTTTATCAATCATTGACCAGCTAATGTTCAGGACTTTATCAAAAAAATAAAATAAAATCTAAAAGGTCTTGGAAGAGTTGACCTCAATCTAGAGTGGATTCCATGATTTACATCAGCTAGGAAACTATGTTAAATACTCAAAAAGAAGATACTCAAGTCAATGAGTGAAATTTTACTTGGGGCAGGAAAAGAAAGTGTACTGATAAGAGATAGATAAGTTACAGAGGCTAGTATAAAAAGAAAAAATTAAAATATACATATGTATGTGTATGTATATATCTTTATAAAGCATTATATCTGTAGTTTTGAAATTACACACTGACCACACAATAGAGAAATGGTTAGTAGAAAAAAAAAACAAGCAAAAGTGGCTTTTTTTATGCTAAGTAAGTCAGAAGGAGAAAGTCAACTACTTGACTACACTATAGTCCACATATTTATGACAACATCAATCAAAGATAAAGCCAAAATAACAACTAATCCTAGAAAGCCAACTATAGAACTGAAGCTACCAGAGGGGTTAGGAGAGTGGTGGGAGCAAAGTGGGGAAGGAGCACAAGGAACAATAGTGGAGGACATGGGTGTTTTGGTCATGGATGCCATGTAGTTAACATGAAGAGGGAGACCCTATACCTCTAAAACACAAACAATTTATAATAATGTTATTTCAATTTTTTTTTAAAAAGTGGCTTTTAAATAAAAAGTATTGACTATGTAACCTACTCAACCCTGGCCTAATAGTACCATTCCTAGTGGTATAGTAGTAGTCATTAATATCATTATCATGGCAGCTGGCATTCAATGAGTATATAACATTGTGCTAAGTACTTCACACACTTTATCACATTTAGTTCTTATAACCCTATAAACTGGGAATTAAGCTCATTTTAAAGATTAGGAAATTGAGATATGGTTTCCTAATGATTTGCCCATGGTCACACAACTACGAAATGGTACAGCCAGTATTTGAACCTATGTACACTAAGCAAGGGATTAAACAGCTGGAGGCCCCTCCCTGGTGGTGCAGTGGGTTAAAGTGCAGCACTGCAAAGCTGGCCTAAGCTGGCCTCGGCCACTTAGGTAGGTGTGAGTTCAATCCCCACCCCGAGGTGATCTGCATAGTGCTATAGACCTCTCCTGTCTTGCCCATTGCTCCCCTCAGCAATGTACTTTTTTGATCTGCCTGTTCTGTTCCCCTCTAGCTATAATGAATCCTCTCACTGCCCCTGCAACCCTGGCCTGTACCACAGTTCTGTACACGTAAGTAAATAAATCTTTTTAAAAACTGCAAATTCTGACTTTAAGAAAGAAAGAAAGAGCTGGAGCACTGAAAGCAGACAAAATCTGAATCATGAAAAGTGGTAGAAAGAAATCAGTATGAGAACAGAACAAGAGTGGCTGGCAGTATGTGGAGCCTAGCTAAAGCCAGTCAGTGATCATGAAATTAGATGATGATACCAATCTTATTAGATTTCTTCAGCAGTCCATATGCAACCACTGACAACATAGAAAATTCTCTTCATGCAAAATAGGATTCTCATCAGGCAGGAAGTTAGAATAACATGTCAAAGGGAGTTAAGGATAAATGATAAGCACAAGAAATTGTGGACAAAACAAATTCAAGTTGGCTAAGGAAAAAAGTAAATTCAAAAGATGGGGAAACTAAAGTATTGTAAGATTTAAAGATCTTAATGATGTCAAATAATTACCTTGCAAATATCTAAGAAAAATTATCTAGAAAGACAGGAAGTTCTAGAGAACAAAATGTGATTCAATGAGATGAAAGGATTCCATATGATAAGGTTAGATGATACAGACGTGGCTCTCCAGAAATTAAGTCAAGGAATTGGGAGGACAGAGTATACAATACAAAGCAAATAGGACCTACTACATTACTTAAGGGGCTTAGACATCCACAGCTAATTTCACACACTCATATTTATAAGAGAATAACCAAAAACAGGGATTAATTGGCAATAATTTTACATATTAAATCAGAGTACAAAAAAATTCTGTAATACAGCTTTAAAATAAAATCTGTATATTTTTAAACAATGATCTACAAGTGTTCCTAGTAGACAAAATCAAATTACATAAAAATTACATTTAAGATTTAATATCTTACTCTTCCAAGGATATCCACAGGTAACTTTGAGTTGAGCAATACTGGTTTCACTTTGTCACCAGACAGAAATCCATTCACTGGGCTTAAACTATCAAAAATTGCATCATATTTGGCTTTATCTTCAGACTATAAAATTTTAAAAAGATCACATTAAATAATGGTGAAAAGACTTAACCACAGTTATAAAAATAAGGTCCTCAAATAACAATTTTTAAAATATTATTAAAAAACCCATTTTGCCTCCATGAAAATATATAATAGTAAATAATAATATATATAATATATATAATAGTAAATAATAATTTAAAAGGAAATCCATTCAAGAGTTCAGTATCCTATCCATTCCTTTATGGTTTTGAGAAGAGCATATAATCTAATATTCTCACTTAAACAGTTCTAGACTGGTAGTGAGTTTTATAAGCATATACAACTAGTTAGTAACAGTCTACGACTTTCTATGGTATTAGTTACATTTCAAACTCAAATTTCAAAAAGAAAATCACTGCCATTGAAAAATTTCTCCCAGTTAATTTCTCCCAGTTATCCCAAAGCAAATCTTTCTATCAATAATAACATTACACTTTCTAAAAATCCTGGAAAGTTAAATAACATGAAAAAAACCCCACCATTGTTCATGATTTTCCCAACCAAAGTAAAATTCCTACACTTTTAAGCAGAGAGGGTTATGAGGGTAAGAAGCAAAGTAGAGACAAGGAGAAGAGTCACAAAATACTTACTTTTACAGACCATGGAAGCTCAGCAGCAGAGGGTCCACTGATAAGCAAAGGACTACTGGCATCATGCTAAAAAAGAAAGTAACATACATGAAGGAAATCTTCACATTAAGTAAAAGAAAAAGATTTTGGATTTAAATACATTCACACTAACCAATGATGGTCAATGAACACAGAATACTCTATTATGCACTATTTTACATTACCCTACTAGACATAACTCTAAATACAACAAAACTACCTGTGCTATTATATGCATAAGCAATTATAAATTAACACATATAAGTATTATAGTAGAAGTTCTATTACAACTGAGATCAAGATAAAGAACCTGAATAAAACAAAAAATATTTATGGCCCTGTTAAATAATATGACAAAAACCCAACTTAAGATTTCTATGTTACAAGGGCATGATAACTTTTAATTGCATGTCTAAGTTATTATGGTTATCTGCTTGCAGAGTCAAATGAATTACATTTGAAAAAAATTTTTAAATAATTTTTTAAATAAAAATTTAGGCAACATAAGAGCTCTTTAAGACTGTACGTAAACTTAAAAAGTGCAGAAAAGCACAAAACTAAAGTTAAATTACTAACACACAGGCCAAACACTTTTAAAACACTAAATTTAAGAATAAGCAAGAAACGCTGTAAAACTTTCAGAAAAAAGAGTAGGGTAGGGTGGATGACCTTATAAAATAGAAAAACAAATTCCACATAGGAGAATTAAAACATAAGATTGTAACAGGGAGGACCCAAGAAAAGGGGAGGTTTCTGGTTCCCTGCCCCACCCAGAAGGAGAGTGGAGCTGAGCAGAGAAGAGAGTCTGAGGAAGAAGGAAGCAGGAAAGAGAGCCAGAAGTTGACCTGAGGGAGGCATATGGAGCAGAGAGACATGTAAAGAAACTGTGCTTGCTTCTTAGTGCTGGACTAGTTGAAACAGATGTGGGTGAGAGACCCAGGGGAAGTTTCACTGATTTTGATTTTGCCAATCCCTTTCGGGTGAGTAAAAGTCCATGGGTAAAAGTCCACCCAAAAGGGATTGGCCCAAAGCAAGGCTTAAAAGCCCTCCACAAGCCTAAAACACCTTTTGGACTGAACCCATAGAAAAGGGTTAGAAATGGTCAGACAAGTCTGAGAAAAAGAGCAAAATCAAAATCAAGATAAACGCTGCCAAAGTGAAACTCCCTTTGGGTCTCTCACCCCAACATCTGTTTCAACCAGTCCAGGGCCAAGAAGAAGCAGCAAGCACAGTTTCTTCACATGTCTCTCTGTTCCATGTGCCTCCCTCAGGTCACCTTCTGGCTCTCCATCCTGCTTCCTTCTTCTTCAGACTCCTCTCCAGATTCCTCTTCTCTGCTCAGCTCTACCCTCCTCTGGATGGGGCAGGGAACCTGGGTCCACTCTGTTACAAGACCAGCATATGGACAGATAAATGGGCAATAACAAAAAAATCTAGAGAAACCAAAATACATATCAGAATTTAGCATGTAATTAAGGTGATACTTCAAATCAGTAAGGAAAATAGTAATAATATGTATTATTCAGTAAGTTTTATTAGTTCTATATGGTAACCATTTTGGAAAAATAAAATTTGAATCCATACTCATATCTTCTAGGGCCAACTACTAAATATGGAAAAAGAAACAATTTAAATAACAACAAATCATTTACATACAAAACAATGACATGTTAAAAAAAATCAAGTCAAAGACTAAGGAGGACTCTCCCTGGTGGCGCAGTGGGTTAAAGCACAGCACTAAGAAACTAAAGCCACTTCCACATGAGTTCAATTCCCACCTGCCCCGGCGGAGATCCACATGGCACGGCAGACCTCTCCTGACCTGCCCGCTGCTCTCCTCAGCAGTGTACTTCATCGATCTGCCTGTTCTGCTCCCCTCTCTGTCTCTGGTGAATCCTCTCACCCTCCACATCTCTGGCCTGTACCCCAGTTCCAGATAAATAAATAAATAAATCTTTTAAAAAAAAAAGACTAAGAAAAAAAATTGAAACCCATAATTACTAAAACCTCTAGAACTCAGTATGAACAAGGCCAACACCCAAGAAAAACTGGTCAAAGGTTGGAAAACTGACATTCTACATAAAGGCAATATAGATGTCATAAACATGAGAAACTATTCAACCTCACACTACAAAAACAAATTAAAACTATACTTACACTCCATTTGTTTGTCACCTATTGAACTGATAAAGAATCCAAGAGCTTGACTATGTTAGCAAAAAATGCATTCAGCCAATTGCTGGTAGATTGTTAGACAGTAAGTGTAACAGAGTGGACCTAGGAAAAGGGGAGGTTCCAGGTTCCCTGCCCCACCCAAAGGAAGGTAGAACTGAGCAGAGAGAGGAAGAATCTGAAGAGGAGACTAGGAAGGAGGAAAAAGGATGGAGAATGAGAAGGTGACCTGAGGGAGGCACGTGGAGCAGAGAGACATGTGAAGAAGCAGCTCATGTTTCTTGGTCCTAGACTGGCTGAAATAGATGTGAGTGAGGGGCTCATGGGGATGTTAGTTAATTATGGCAGCGTTTATCTTGATTTTGATTTTGCTCTTTTCCTCTTACTTAGACGGTCTGGCCAATGCTGACCCTTTTCTATGGGTCCCACAGGAAGGTGCTTTAGATTTGTGGCGGGCTCTTTGGACCAATTCCTTTTGTGGAGAATTTTACCCACAGGGGATGGGTAATTTTGAGTGTTTGATTTAGAAATTATATTCTTTGTCTTCTCTGTATTTCACACTAATTGTATTAAAGTTCCTTTCCACCAAAGATCTTATATGTTTTGTCTTGATGCAGCAGATGTAAGAACCTATTTAGAGTGGGCAGGTTTAGGAGTTCAGGGGTGTCCCCCTCCCTGCCCTGTAATGTAATTACTATGGAAGACAGAAGTTACTATATATGTGAAAATTACAAATGCAGAAACTTTTGATATAGTAACTCCACTTCTGAGAATTTATGTATAGTTTTACAAAAGTAAAAAGACAGATGTTCAAGGTTATTCAATGCAGCATTATTTTATAATAAAATATTAGAAACAAGCTAAAAGCTGTTCAACAGTTAAATTTTGCTAAACATTAGAAGTAGGAAATGCTATATACAGCTATAAAAAAATAAGTTTTTCTTATAATGTTATATAAAGATCTCTAAAGCAGGCTACATTATAAAAAGGGAATAAAATCATGTGTCAAGTATGCTATAATTAACACAAAGTGAAGGAATGTGTATGGACATTTCTTTATATATACAAAAAACATCTAGAGAGTCAAATGATATACAAGCAACTAATAACAGCAGTAATCATTAAGAAAGAATATCAAGTAGCTGTATGAAAGGGGAAAATTTTTAATATAGTGATTTTATTTTTCAAATCATGTGATAGCACTTTCAAATTAAATACAATTTAAATTAAAAACATTTCTTACAGGCCCTCCCTGGTGGCGCAGCGGGTTAGAGCACAGCACTGAGAATCTGAAGCCACTTCCGCATGAGTTCGATTCCCGCCTGCCCCGGAGGAGACCACATGGCGAGCCAGACCTCTCCTGGCCCGCCCGCTGCTTCCCTCAGCAGTGTACTTCGTCGATCTGCCTGTTCTGCTCCCCACTCTGTCTCTGGTGAAGCCTCTCACCGCCCCTGAGCCTCTGGCCTGTACCCCAGTTCTGTATGAATAAATAAATAAATCTTAAAAAAAAAAAAAAAACATTTCTTACAAATCTTGGTGGAGGAACAGCCAGGTTCAAGCTATTCAGTGAAACCTCCAATCCATTCTGGGCACATGCCACAAGACGCAAAGCAACAAAGAATTCCTGAGAAAGAAAAGTAATTAGTATTATCAGCATTATCCATCCATGCACATACATAAAATCTAAAAATATAAAATTCACAATTACCCTAAGAGTTTTATAAGCAACAAATTTAACAGCACATTTGCTCGAAACACACTTGCTTTAAAATTGAAAAGAGATCCCAAAGTTGTTCCTAACATTAAAAACAGAAAAAAAATATAATATAAATGGAAATATATTTAAATAAATTATGCTATGTACAGACAGTGGAAATTATACAAAGAATGCTTTAAAAGTATTTAATAATGTTTAGAATGCTTTTATCATTTGAGTGAGAAAATATAATCTGAAAAAAAGTCTTCTCTTCTCTGGATATTATAAATATCATTCAAGTGACTCAATCACTGCTTTCCAGAAAAACTACTAAGAATCATGGTAGCATCTAATACAATTATATAACCACTTAACTTCAAACTATTGAGAAATCTCTCCCAAAGGTCCTTGGATTTCTGGTATCTGAAGTCTCAGTTTAAAACTTAACATGGAAATGAGGAAGTTTAAGCAATTGATTTTCAGCTGTTTTGTGTTAAAGTTGGGTGCAGACTACACATAACAAAAGCCTTTACTCCAGTTATAATTAACTTGCAACTTGTTGATACTGTGGTATAGATGCTGAGAAGAGGGACCCATCCATCATGTTCACCTGTGTATTTCCAAAGCCTGGCTCAAAACAGGTACTCAACAAATACTTGCTGACTCAGTGCACAGCACTCTAGGTTCCCAAATTAAATTAATTTTCCTATGTTTCCCATGTACCACACTGGTCCTTCTGCCCAGGGGTTCCAACAAAGATAACAAATGGGCCTGTAATCTTACTTAAAAGACTGGGTATTCTGACTCTCTCATCTACTTTTTCTCATTTCTTTTCTGAGTTTCTTCCTGCTTCAGCTATCCCTATAGGGGAAGTTAGCTTTTAGTGGCAGAGCTCAGTTAATGTATCAGCATAAAGCAAGATTTGAATTCAATTCTGTCTAACTCCGTAATTTACCCCAAGCAAGGAGAATGTCAAAGTACACTGATGATGTTCAATACCCATATCTACTTTCACAAATTTCTGGTTTATGGGTTTACTTCTGGTGTGTAAATCATTTGGGAGGTCATATGTCTTAGATTAGACTTAGCAAAATATTCAGACTTGATTAGCCAAGAGCATCCTTCTAAATATAATTAGTAATATCATCTTAACCAAATATAATTAGTAATATCATCTTAACACTTAAAATCCAATTTTATTTCCCTATACATACCCAAGATATCATTAAGATACAAAAATCAAAGTCTCTTTGAATGAGAAAAATAAGTTCCATGCTATTGTCTGATTATGTGCCCACAAAATTCCTATGTTGAAATCCTAACTCCCACAAATGACGTTAGTAGAGGTAGAAAGTTTAGGAGGTCCTTTAGCCATTAGGCTAAAGACCTAATGAATACAACTCTTACCTCATAAGGGGTCAGCACGTAGCCCCTCTGACATGTAAGGACACAATAAGATGTCCAAAAGCTGAATGAGGACCCTTACTTTTCCATGTTGGCACTCCAATTTCAGACTTTCAGCTTCCAAATCTGTGATCAATGTACTTCTGCTGCTGAGAAGCCACCCAGGCTACAGTTTATTGTCACACAGTCCAAATAGATTAAGATACTCCAGGAGGACCATGTCATCAAATTAACACTAACTTTTAGTAGTTACTTTAATGTCTATTGACTAGAAATAACATGAAAATTATTATGACACTTGCCTTTTTGCAAAACCCTAATCCTCGTAAAATGAAAATTCTTAAAAGTATTAAAAAACTGCCATTTGCAACGTGATGGACCTAGAGGCTATTACACTTTATGAAATAAGTTAAATAGAGAAAAATAAACACTGTGTGAGTTCACTCAAGTGCAATAAAAAATAAAGTTTTATACAGTAAGACCAACTAATGGTTACCAGAAGGGAAGGAGGAAGGAGGGCAGGTAAATATGGTAAGAGGGGGGAAATTATAAGGCACAAGACAGAATTAGAATTTAATACTGAACTTAATATAGTAGATATACATATATGTGACTTTTAATAACACACACAAGAAACTTAACTATAATAATACAATGTTACTTCAAGGAAAAATAAATAATAAAGCATACAATATAATAATGATTTGAAAAACTAGAAGAAACTGTTGGCTTTGATTCAGAATCACTTGAAAATGTTGTTATAAATCTCTATATCTTACTTGTTTGCTCAGGATACCTTTGCCATCTGTGTCAGCTAAATCCCAAATCTGAAAATTTAGGGGGAAAAAAAAGAGTATCAATCTATATTTTAAACAAAAATCACCTTATAATTAAATCCCTGCAATTTGTAACATCAGCTCTTTGCTAGTCAGATTTAGGAATCATAGAATTAAAAGTGGAAAGAAACCTTAAAGACCACTTAATGGTCTTCACAAAGGCACAAAGATCCATTGAGGTTAAGTGATTTACTCAAGAACATTCAAGGTACCAGGAAAAGAACTGAAACCCCAGCTCTAACTTATAGAATAATGCCTTTTTCACTAACTCAGGTTCTTACTCTGAATCCTCTTTCCTCCAGAGCACTAGTTTTAGATCCTTATTAAGCTGATATTCTTTATGGGCACGTTGAAATACTTAATGTTTATTTGCAAATATTTTAATTATTAGTAGTACATTATAATAATTACTATTAAATAGTATTTTTAATAGTTTTCAAGTTATTAAATATGCCAAAAATTTTTCATAGTCAAAAATTATAATTTTTTAGTATCTTAAATATAATTCAATATCCTGTATAAGGACTCACAAGGAAAGGGACTTTCCACCTCTCTGTGTTCTTTCCTAAGTCTTTCATCCCCACTCTACTTACCAAATATTTAGCACAGTTAAAAACTGTTATAAAAGAGGAAGTAGGGATACAGATAACTCTGAGTGAATGGCAAGGTTCCTACTCTGTACTGCTCTCCCCACAAATCCCAAATGTACTATTACTAGCTCATTTCATTCCACTAAAATGTAATTTGTTTTCAAAAAAAATCTAAAAAACACCTTATTTTTCAAGACAGTAAATAAATTACTGCACCAGAGATTCCTTCCAGGCCATTACTGTAACTGCCTCTATGACAGCTCTAACATCAAAGTTTCTTGATAGTAGCTTTCTGAATTTATATCCAATTCATCTACATTGCTGAATAGTCATTATAATCTAGTTATAATGAACAAATACTACCTTTCCAAGTATCAAGTCTGGAAGCCCTGATTTTTTCAGGAAAACAGCAGCATCAGAAGCCAACACCCTTCCAGTATTGCTGGTATCGACCTGAAAAGATGCAAACTGTTAAGTTGACAACCAAGAGAAGACAAATGTATCACCTTTACCTGCCTGTAAATGGGAACTAGCTTTTTCAAGAAAGGAACAGGAAGCCTTTGACTAACAAAGGCCATGAAGAATATGGATGGTCACAAGTAGAGCACAATCTAGATAGCACTGGCAATCATGTTCAGAGAAAGTAAAGCAAATTAGTGGATTGCTAACATTAAAGCATATTTTGACTTCAAGTCTTCTATAGATGCTATTTAAATGCCAAAAAATTTAAATGGCAATGACAGAAAAACTTAAATGGCAGCAGACAAATGTAATAGCTGCATGTGTTACCTGCTTTTCTCAAACATCTTTATATCCTTAACTTGTTTTTAATTTTTATTCTTAGATATTGATATTTTTAAAACTCAAAGCAATATCAGCAATGATCTACAATACATTTAAAGAAGCATTTTTAAAACTGGTTAAGTTCCTAATGCACATTAAGGGGTAAAACATTAAATGATGAGGACTTTCCTTTAAGATAGAATGAGGTCACCAAGAACAGAAAAACAGTCCAAAAAAATAATGATTCTTACTTCTTTTACTTTCTTAATGGTTTCCTAAAGTAAAGTTCTATTTGTAAAAATGAAAGTAAATTTGAAAAAGCCATGGGAAAAGTAATATGATATCAGGATATTTTTAAGTTAGTTGTTTTTCCAGTTTAGTTAAAAGATTGTTTGCTGTAAACATATACAAAGCATTCCAGACAAGCCAATCCCAGCAACAAGAGGAAATTCTTTCCAGTGCTAGACCATGGCATAAATCAAGCACTCAGCAAAAAAAAAAAAAAAA